GTTGCCATTTTTATATGTCCTGTTTTTATATTTACATTATCTTACTAAAATTAATGAAAAACCTTGCAACTCTTAGTCATCCTGTACTAAGTATCTAATTGGCCTGTAATGGTTACGTACCTCAGCTATCCTCGAGCTTCCCCACCTCTTTCGCATACAACATGCTACAATGGGACAGTCTCTAGTCTCTAGTCTCCTTCCCGTCTTTCTGCATTACTACCTTTCTTTGAACACCAACTACACTGCCTTTCCCGGTGGGGTGTAATTTCGGTAAAATTATACCCACTAAACACAATGGAGAAGACGTCAATGATGGACATCTTGGTTAGCGTTTTGCCATCCTGTATTTTTCAATTATTTGGCCTATTAGACCTAATCTAAATTCTAAGTGACTTTTTGAACTCCCTTGTTTTGAAAAAATAACAAAAGAGTTCCATATAGTTTGGTCCAGAAGGTGCATTCATATTTTATAATAATATTCTCTTCTTCGGTTTCATTACAAGACGGTTTGTGGATGTTGGTCAGCTCTGTCAATACCACCCACAGGATTATTACAATCATTGACAACTATTGGAGTTTTTAAAGTTTTATTTTAAGTTCTATCATTTCTATATTATAAATAGCTGACAATAACGAAATGCCTTTTTTGGATTTCTTTTTTTTGTCTTTTTGACACAGCATCTCGCTATGCAGCTCAGGCTGGCCTTGAGCTTATTTTGTAGCCCAGGCTGGTCTCAAACTCACAATGATCCTCCTGCCTCAGCTTCCCAAGTGCTGGGATTACAGGCATGCGCCACCATGCCCAGCCTGTATTTCTATTTCTTAACATAGGTTTTTCCTCTCTGATCTTTTTCAGTTTTCTTCCTTTTTCAGTTTTTCTTTTGCACCTCTTCTGGCACTTCCTGCCTATTCTGTCTCAGTGTCTCAAACGTGTCCATTTTGCACTGTACAAGAATATCATGAGTTTTGGAGAAGTAAAATTATACCTTATGTATTTGTGGTAACAGTTTTCATAGACTGTAACAGAAATTACAGGTATTTTTCCTAAATAAAATAACATGAATTAGTAAAAGAAAATAACCAGAACTTATTATTAGATTTCACTAGAAACAAACATCAAAGGTAAATAGAATGTTCTACATAAAGTATGCAAAAAATGCCACTACAGCCAGAAGTGCTGGCACGCATTTATAATTCCAGCACTCAGTAGGCTGAGGCAGGAGGACTGCCACGAGTTTGAGGCCAGCCTGAATTACAGAGTGAGATCCTGACTTAAAAAAACAAATCTTTATAAAACAAACAGACGTATGAGTGTATCTCGTACTAACAAGAACTGACTGGTTGAAATGACAGCTGCTTGAGCAACATTTGGGACAGTATGTAAACCAATGTGCTGCCTGCGTGATACATGGGGTAAACTGTTGTGTTTTTTTTTTTTTTTTTTGAGACAAGGTCTCGCTATGCAGTTCAGGCTGGCCTTGAGTTCACTTCGTAGCTCAGGCTGGTCTTGAACTCACAAAGATCCTCCTGCCTCAGCCTCCTGAGTACTGGGATTACAGGCGTGCGCCACCACGCACGGCTTTGCGTGGGGTAAACTGTTAAGTGGTTAAGCTGGAGCGGTGGGAAGACAGCAGCTCTGAAACAGTACTGCACAGGAATGCGGGGACAACGGACTACTGCCTGAGACAGTGGACCGACTAACTGCACACACACTAGCACCTGGATTTTACAGGTAGTTAACATTAAATACTTGAAAGAAGAAGGTGTGGTGGCACACCCCTGTAATCCCAGCACTCCAGAGGCTGAGTTCAAGGCCAGCCTGGGCTACAAAGTGAGTTCAAGACCAGCCTGAACCACATAGTGAGACCCTGTCTCAAAAAGACCAAAATAAAACAAAACACAACAAATCCTTGAAAGAACGTCCTTGCTTCCTGAGGCAGACTTGAATTTCACAGGCTAGAAACTACTGTGGGTAAGTGGTTATCTGGCTAGTGCGTCAGCCCCACCACACCTGGGGTGTGCATGTCGTTTGGTCAAATGCTTATACAAACTTACGTGAAGTGAAATGCCTTCTGTGAAGTGAAATGCCTTCTTCGTGGAAACTTGTTCCCAAAAGTGAGTGAGAAGGTCTGAGTTAACGACGGTTCATAAATTGCTTTAGTCTTATATTTACAGACTCACTAAGAGTCCGAAAGGAGTACTTAAACATTTCAGTAAAATCCATTGTTTTATGAGGATAAATGATGGGTTTAGGTTATTTATAATCTGGTCATCCATGAAATCTTGGGATGTAATCCTCACAAATGACAAGGGTCTGTCTAACGTATTTCCTGTTTGAAGGTAGGTGTAATGAGGCCAGAAAAATAGCACATGTGCCAGGGACTCTTCCATAGGATACCGTCATGGCAGATACATGCCATTAAATATCTGTCCAAGCCCACAGGACGCCCCTCACAAGAATGAAGTCTACCGTGAACTACAGATTCTGGATGAGGATGGGGTACCAGCGTAGGCTCACTGACCGTGATGAGGTACCACACCGGTGTGCGGGGTGTGGACAGTGGGGGAGGCTGTGCACGTGTGAATAGGGCTAAGTACTATGTACTTTAATTCTGCTCAAATTTTTGTGAACCTAGATTTGCTCTAATAAGTAATGTCTATTAAAAGAAGTCATGATCGTGAGGTGTCCATCTGTGGTGAGGTGCCCATCTGTGGACAGCAGGGCTACCCTTTACAGACTGGGCTGGCTGTACTGCCCCTTAGAACCTCTGCACCTCAGCATCTGCCTGAGCAATGAGCTGATTCTTCTTCTGGTCCTGACTTCTGTGACTGCTTCCCATACTTGTTCTTTAAGGAAAGCTCCTCTGAGCCTGTGAGTTACCCTCTTCCTCGCCACACGCTGCTTCCAGCCTGATGTCACAAATGCAGTGGCACCCTGGGCCTTCTGAGGACACTTCAGGGGTCTTGCTGCTTCCCTGAAGGTCACTTTTCTACGCGTGTTGGGATGTGGCCACTAGCACAAAACAAATGCCTGAGACGCAGCAGTGAGAGGACAGGTATCCAAGAAATTAGAACAGTATCACCTACTGACCAGGAGCTCACTTTTCGGAAGAACTATGCAGTTCTTGTTTCTTTCCTATTTAATCCAGCTCCACGGTTCAAGCTACTGAAAAGATTAGCTTCCACTGAGAAAAACTTGAACTCATGCTTCAACTCAGCAGTATGCATGAAAAGCAAATCTGAACTGGATTTCCCTATGGTCTCAAACTAGATCACTGACTAAAACATGAACTGGGAAGGTCAACACACAGGAACTTTTTATCCTAATAAAAATATTAATTCAGAAGTGTGATAAAAACTAAGTTAGTGAAAATTAAAGTTAGAAAAAGCTAAAAAAGATTACTCTTACACAAAACATGTTTTCTGATACACTATCACACGGAACTTTGAGACGCACAGGTTGTGAGAAGCCGGCTGGGATGCTGCTCATTGTACCGGCTCCTCTCCTGTGCCTGCTGCACTGCACACTGGGAATTTCCGGCCTTCCTACATTTGGGCCCGAGGAAGCCTCTTATGCAATGGAAATGGTAACTCGAGTGTTAAGTTCCAAACGAATAGTAACTTTTCTTACTTAGCAAAACTCAAGATCTTGAATTTGCTAAATTCAACTTGATATTTAAAAGAAGTGATTCCATTTCAAGATAAAAACCCTTAAAATTTAGCTAGACTCCTAAATATCAGCTTTTAAATCTGAGTATCAGACAATGGTTAAACCACTGCTGCAGGATAAACACTGGTTTTAAAAACCTGCAGTAGACGTGAATCCCACTGGCTGGCTTTGGTTCTGTAATCTCCCCCCACTATAAGATGCTACTGCAATGAAACCATGGTGAGGCCACAGATGGCAGTCACAAGGCGATCCCTGGATAAACCATCACGAAAGTGCCCCCTGAACGCCAGGACCCGGGCTCTAAACAGCCTTATGTTTGGCTGAAAGTTTAGTCTCACATGTACGACCTACTACACAACATCGCCCAGCTGGGAAAAAAGTGAGAGTAGCACATTTTTGGCATAGAACACTACAGTTCGAGTGATATACTCCAAAATCACTTAATTTAAACTGATGCAGTCAATGGGTATGAGGTAACACACCCTAAGTGATGCACGTTTTCCCCTGTTCACTGGTGTGTCTCTGAACATTACCAGTGCTTATACTTACTGATGTTTTTAGATGATTGCTAATAATAGATGGTAATCAGCTTTTCTTGAAAATGTACTGCTGTATTTCCTGTGTTACCTTAAATAGATAGCTGAATGCAACAATTACACTGACTGCATGCTTTATGCTAAGAGGTGAAAGAATGAGGGAAATTTTAGACCTTATTTTCTTCTAGAGGAGAAAGCAAATCTGGGCTCACAGAATAAGGCTTGAGAAGTCCACTGTCTGCAAGCATAAGGCCACAAGGACTCAGCGCTGGGGCAATTTGGACCACTTCTCATTTAGAAGAATCCATCTGATTACTAGGTAACAGAGCTCAGTCAACAGCCTGGCTTGGTTACTTAAGCAACCCTAAATTGCTGGAAGGCACCCTCCCCTGCCCACCTGCGTACACCCTCGGCTCCACCGAGCTTTTTTTCAAGTCTCTACCTGCTCAGTGTGACACTTCGTGACTAAGGTACTTTTCTCTGCTGAGTGCCCTTCCTTTACTCAAGACCCAGGGCAAACAGACTGCAGAGCACGAATCTTCCTCTGGACTGTTAGTACAGTGGTACCACAGTTCACCAACTTAATTCATTCCAGGATTCTGGAAAAGATGGCCACATTTCGTGTTCCCTCAAGGAAGACGGCCACGGTCGTGTTCGTAACCTGATGCAGAGTTTGCAGACACAAGCAAAATTCTGCCAAATGCTTCTGTCTGCAAACCAAACTGCTTACAGACAGAAGTGTTCCTGAACCGAGGTACCACTGTAGTGTGGAGGAGGGACAGGGTGTGACATACCTGTCTTCTCTAATGACTGTGTAATGGAGGAAGAGCTGAATAAACATGTGCTTTCTTGCGGGAATTCCTCTGGATCCTGCTGGCACTGCTCTCAAGGCATGCAGGGACAGCTGGAATGCTCCCGTGTATAGCATTCTATTCACAGTTAACACAGGAAAACCAGGTCTGCAGAGAAATGTGCCAGATGGGAAGAGCAGACCTTGCAGTTGACTTACAAGTAAAAATTTAAAATAAAACCTCCCTAACTTGGTCCCTCAGTCCCCCTAGGTATGACCCCACATTCTGGCTACCCCTCACAGCAGAACTCACTGTGGCCATTTCTCACACACATTCTCTCCTCAGCTAACCTTAACTGGGTTTTGGCTCCAACTGTGCCACTGACTGCTCCTCAAAGTCACTAACGACCTCCGTGTTATCAAATCAAAGGCCACTTCTCAGTCCTAATCCTATTCAACCTTTTAATTAGTTAATTCGTGAAGTAATTTCTACTCTTGGTTTTCAAGACACCATACCTTTAAAATTTTTTCCTATCTTACTGCCAATTTGCAAATATAATGAATCTTGAGATCCTTCCCTTCTCAACTACAGTCATTTCAAATGTAATCTCATCCCACCATTTTAAAAGTCACATATATTGATGATTCTCAATTCATGCCTCTTCCCTGGACTCTGAGGCCCTGGACGACATGTCCCACTGCCTACTTTACTTCTCCACTGGGGATCAGCATGCACCACAGAGTGAAAGTGCCCAACATGAGGAAATCTCCGTTTCCCCTCCCCAAGTCCTGTCCACTTCAAGAACAGCACCTTAGTTCCCTAATATCCTTTGCTCAGGACAAACATGCACATATAACCTCTGATTCTTTTCTTTCCTTCCCTTCCCTACACTCAATTCAAAAGCAAGACCTGTCAACTCTATCTCCAGCACTCAGCACTTCTCCAGTGCCATGGCTACTGTCCAAGTCCAGTCTAGCACTAGCTCCTCAGGCAGCACAGCAGTCTCAACGGTCCCCTTATTCTAATCTTGCCTCTTACAATAGCTTCTCCACATTGCAGCCAGTGCAGTTTCTTCAGAGAGTACTACTTCCCTGTCTTCCTGAAGCACTCACAGGAAAACCAGTTTACTGAGGCCACAAGGCACAACATACTCTGGGAAGCAGACCATATTCCAATCATGCTTGCCTTCCTCCTGTGCCTTGAACACACCCTGTTTATAAAGGTGTTGGGGTCACGATGTTAGTTATTCTCTTCCTGCTGGAGTGCCATGTCCATACATTTTGCATGTCTTGCTTCCTCGCATCAATCAGGTCCCAGCTTTAACGTCATACCCTCAGAAAATGTCTTTAGAAAAAGCCTCAAGAAGCACCTGTTACTCTCATACCATTAATTTTCATTGTAACATTGATCATTACTTGTTATTTTCTTGTTTCTTAACTTTCTGTTTCTTCATCCCTCTATACTCAGTACCTGGAAGTATTAAGCAGGTACTCAAATCCTAGTATCAACATGCATCAGCCGGGCGTGGTGGTGCACGCCTGTAATCCCAGCACTCAGGAGGCTGAGGCAGGAGGATCGTCGCGAGTTTGAGACCAGCCTGGGCTACAAAGTGAGCTCCGTGCTGGTCTAAACTGCACAGTGAGACCCTGTCTCAAAAAGATAAACAAACCAACCAAACAAACAAAAAAACATGTATCATGCACATATGTTCACATATCACTGAATTATAAAATATATGAAAGTTAATAATTATTGTGGATGTAAATCAAGAAGTGTGAGCTAAGTAACAGTTAAAATATGCTTATACGAAGGAAGATGAAGTGTAAATCCAGTAGTATATCAGTCTCTCTAGGACCTGGATTCCAACACCTGGAAAACAACTTAGTGAAGAGAAAAGGAAGAAAAGCTCCAAGAATTAAGAAAAAGCCAACAGGAAAATTAGAAATCAGAGAAACTGAAGACAGTGCAGGGTAAAGAAGGAAGCAGTCTGGTCAGGCACAGTGACACATGCCTGTAACCCCAGCACTGTGAGTTCAAGGCCAGCCTGGGCTCCAAAGTGAGTTCAAGGCCAGCCTGGGCTCCAAAGTGAGTTTTCAAGGCCAGCCTGGGCTCCAGAGTGAGTTCAAGGCCAGCCTGAACTATAGTGAGACCCTATCTCAAAGACAAAAAAGGAAGCAGTCTGGAATGCTAACCCTGGCTCCTAGGGGGTCAAGGTATCTCTGCTAAAAAAAGTCTGGCAAAAAAAAAAAAAAAATGTCTGGCAAAGATTGGCAAACTCAAGGGTAAACAATGAATCAGGTTTTACTCTGAAAGTAACTCCTGCATGGCAGACTAGAATCAAAAAATCCATGGCTGTGCCCATCATATTTGAGAATGATTAATCAGGAGCCATTCTGGGGAGCGTTAAGACTGAGCTACTCCAGGAATCAGAAGCTGCAGAACAAATACACTTCAGGGATTTTGAGGTCTCTCTACCACAGTGACTGGGTGGGAGATGGCCACAATAAACAGTCAGAGAGAGGGTACAGGCCAAAAACAGACCCCCTGAAAAGTTTAAGGAGTCAGGAGCTCAGGCCAGGTAAGACTGGTATTCCTGCGCTCTGTGATGAAAATAACTCTCAATATGAAAGGTCTCAATTCCCCATTCAAAAGTCACAGCTTGGTAGACTGGATCAGAAACAAAACCCAATGGTATACTGCATATAAGAAACACATCTAAATTATAAAGAACTTCACCAACTAAAAATCAAATAATGAAAAATAATATTCTATCCAACAGGAGCCTGCAAACAAGCAGGAGTAGCTATCCTATTTTCAGACAAAGTAGACTTCAAGCCAAAACAGATTGGAAGAGGCAAAGAAGGTCACTACATGTTGGTTAAGAGAAAAATTCATCTGAAAGAGGTAACACCTATAAATACATATGCACTGAATTCTGGTATGCCCAAAGTTCTAAAACAAATAATACTGGACATAAAAGACCATATAAACATTAACACAATTATAACAGGAGAATTATATACCCCTCTATAACAAATACACAAATAAATTAGATCTTAAAAATCAGTAAAAAAATGTCAGAATTGAATCATACTTTTGAGCGAATGGATTTAATAGATAATCTACAGAATGTTTCACCCAACAACAAAATACATTATTCTCAGCAGCACATAGAATTTTCTTCAAAACAGACATATACTAGCCCATAAACCATGGTTAAATAAATAAAATGAAATTATCCCATATATATTATCAGATCATAGTGCAATGAACTAGAATCAATGGCAAAGAAGCCATGAAAATTATGCAAACACATGGAGAGTGTGTTTGAGAGTGTGTTTCATAAATGATATCCTTGTGAATAACCAATGTCTCACAGAAGACTTCTGGGGAAGAAATTAGACAAATTAGAGAAAGAAATAAAAGGGATATGTATATGCAAGGCTCAAATGATAATCCCAGTGTAACATATCAGAACCTATGGGATAAAATGAAAGGAGTCCTAAGAGGGAAGTTTATAGCCGTGAATCCTGCACATGAGAAAAACAGAGCCCCAATAACCTAATAAAGCATCAAGAACACCAAGGTTCTGGAAAAACAAGAACAATCCAAGTCAAAAGCTAGTATAAGGAAGGAAATTTAAAGATCAGGGAAGAAATCAATGAAATTGAGACTAAAACAAATAATACAAAGAATCAGTAAGTTGAAGGGCTGGTTCTTTGAAAGAACAAATTAAAACATTAGCCAATTTTACCAAAAGAAGGAATAAAAGACCTGTATCAATATAATTAGAAATAAAAAGGTAAAGGGGCTGGGGATTTAGCTCAGCGGCACAGTGCCTTCCTGGCAAGCTTTAGGTCGTGAGTTCGATTCCCGGTACCAGAAAAAAAAAAAAAAAAAAGAAATAAAAAGGTAAAATAACAACGGATACCACCAAAATCCAGAAGATTATTAGTAACTACTTCAAAAGCCTGTACTCCTATAAATTGGAAAGTCTAGAAGAAATGGATAAATTCTCAGGTACAAATGTATTACCAATACTGAAGAAGATACACAAACCTGGAATAATCTCACAGGAAATGAAATTGAGGCAGTTATAAAAACCTACCTAAGGAAAGCCTTGACTGGATGGATTCGTTGCGGAATTCTGTAAGAACTTCTATAAGAGATTCAACACACTTCAAACTCTAATGAAACTGAAAGGGAAGGAGTCCTGCCAAACTCATTCCCAGAAGCTAGCATTACCTTGATTCCAAAACCAGACAAGGACTGAACCAAAAAAATACAACTACAGGCCAGTCTCTTTAATGAATACAGATAGAAAAACCCCCAACAAGCAAACCAATGCAACAAACCATAAATAGATCATATATTATGACTAAGTAGGCTTCATCCCAGGGATGTAAAGACAGCTCAACATATACAAACCTAACATTCACCCATGATTAAAACCTTGAAGAAAATAGAAGGACCTTATTTCACTCTGATAGACGTTATTTATGACAAATCTACTGCCAACATATTAAATGGGGGATACTTGAAAGCTTTCCTTCTAAAAGCAGGAACAAGACAAGGATGCCACAGTCACCTTTATGGTTTAACACAGTCTTTGAAACATTAGCCAGAGCAATTAGGTAAGAGAAAGAAATACAAGGGATATGTATAGGAACGGAAGAAGTCAAAGTATCATTATTTGCGGATGACATGGCCCTCTACTTACAAGACCCCAAAAATTCCACTGACTCCTAGAATAACTAAATTCAGGAATGTTGGAGGATATAAAATTACACACATAAATTAATAGCATTCCTGTACACACATAAATTAATAGCATTATTCACGAATAATGAACACACTGAGAAAGGAATTAGGAAAAAAATACCATTCATAGTAGCATCAAGAAAAATTAAAAATGTAGGAATTGATCTAAGGAGCAAAAGACCTCTAAAATAAAAACTGCAGCACTCTGAAAAGAAACAGAAGAGGATATCAGGAAATGTAAAGATACTCCTTGTTCTTAGATAGGTAGAGCCAATACAGTCAAAACGAGTCTACTTCTAAAACTGATATAAAGATTTAATACAATCTCAATTAAAATACCAACAGCATTCCTCACAGATCTAGAGGAAACAGTCCAAAAAATTCATATGGAACCAGAAGAGACCCAG